ACCCATAGCAACCCTGTGTAGGGTTTCCCAAATCTCTGAGACTCACATATTTACAGTTATTTAACTACTCCACTTTCTGGCACCAAGACTGATAGATAGGTCTCTACCTAACACAATACTGATACATCAAAGATGAAGAGAATATAACAAATAATGTAGTGGTTCCATAGGTTTCTGCTGTAAGTGACATGACTAAAACATTCATTTCATTAGCAAGAGCAAATCACAAGGTCAAGTATGATCATTTCTGGTAGAGGAAGTATTGTTACTTCTAAGGAGGGGAAACAAATTGTTTTTAACAACAATGTAAATTATTGTAATTATTGCAATAATTTCTGTTGTATGTTGTTGTTGTTATGTGCCGTGGAGTCGGTTCTGACTCATAGCGACCCTGCACAGGGTTTTGGAGGCTGTAAATCTTTACGGGAGCAGAAAGCATCATCTTTCTCCTGAGGAGCAGCTGGTAGTTTCGAACTGCTGACTTTGAGGTTCACAGACCAATTCATAACCACTACACTACCAGAGCTGTGTTGTACTTTAGATAAGAATTTTTTTATTTTGATTGCAGTCAGAGGTATACATGAAAGCAAAAGCATAATAAGCATTTCAACATCAGGATAGTTTGATTTTAAAGCAGAAGTTTTATTAGCCTCTTTTTCAAAAACATTTTCATTTGTCTTCAGAGTGACTACTTCATTGACATGTTTGTATTTCAAGGTGCTAAGCGTGCTCCATTTGCCTGTTTTGAAGAAATTAATCCTCTGCGTGATGGAGTTGGAAATTGTAGTTTAAACAATTCACCATCATTACCGTGTGAGCTGAAGTATGTATATATGTTTGTTTTAAATATATATGAGTGTCTTATTAAATTAAAAAATGATATATTTCTTATTGTGCAATTGTGTAACAGGAGAATATTTTCAAACACCACTATTTTTTTTCTTTGCAACTGGGATTTTTGTCTTTCCTTAAAATTTCCCTGATATCTTTCTAATAATGAAACTAGACTAAAAGAAGACTGATAGTGATCAGAATTTTTTAACCTGGCAGTGGGCACAAACTGGCAAAAATAACAGACTCTTCCTATATGTTGAGTATCAAAACTGAATTTTGTCTTACATCTATAAATTAAATTAATGCAAAAGCAAGGTTTTTTTTGTTTTTTTTTTTTAACAGATGAAGTTGTTGAGAAGGTTTCCTGTTTTTATTTTGTTTGCTTCTGAAATGTTGATATGTAAATCAAGAAAACACAGCAACAGCAAGATTTGGCGTAGTGAGATATAGTTTAACTATAAGCACAGAGTAAAGGATTCATAAAATTTAGTAAAGGGAGTTCCTATGCCTTAACAAATGGTCTTTAACCTATGTTGACTCATATGAAGAAGAAAACTGTAAGATAAAAGAAATCCTGAAAATTACTATACATGAATTCTATTTAAACTAAATTTCATCAGAGATGATAATGGTACATAGATTAGACTGAAATAGAATCACTGTGTGAAATTGGATTTGAATACTATGACTCATCTATTCTAAGTAGATTGTGATCCATTTTCAGAAAAATTAAAATTTAAGACTTCAAGCCCACAATACTTTAAGAGTGTTGGAAGTTGAGTTTGTACTCCATAGTCAGACTACAGAGACCTACCATGCAAGATTGGTTTGAAATACAAGTATATTTCCATAGAAAGAAAAAAACAAAAGATGTTTTATTCCAAATAAAACATCCAGATATGAGAAACAAGAACAGTTATTATGAATGGGGAAAAAAATGTGGAAAGAGATTTTAAGTGTTGGCTCCAAACCTCAATTTAATCTTCATTTAATGTAATTAACCTTGGTGCTGTTGTTGTTAGTTGCCATTGAATCTACCTGGACTCATGGTGACCTTATGCTGAACAGAATGAGATGTTTCCAAGTCTTGTGTCAGCTTCACAATTGCTAGCATGTTCAAATACATCATTGTGACTATTTTCCCAATCCATAACTACAAAAGTCTACCTTACCTTCATGAGCACATTGCTTCATTAAACATTATTTTCTCCTCTAATGATTGATCCCTCATGATGATGAATCCAAAGCAAGTTCACTGGACAATGTTATGCTGTGATACATAGGTTTTCGGTTTTCATTGACTAATATTTGTAAATAGATTGCCAGGACTTTCTTCCTAGTCAATCTTAGTTTGAAAACTCCACAGAATGTTATCCACAATAGGTAACACTGCTAGTATTTGAAATGTTGGTGTCATACTTTTCAAACTCATAGCAACATGTAATCAATCATAGTATTCTAGCTGAGAGATGGGTAGTTGTCATTATGTTAAACACTTGATATCAGATCTAAGATACTATTGATGACAAATGGACAGAATTTCCTGAAGAAATATTTTTAAGAAAATAATGATTTTTTCCCCAATTCAGTTTTCATTAATTGGGATTATTTTAAGAGCAAGATGTAATATTTTCCTTGACCTACTCTGGACAAATTATAAGCTTTGGGTTTTAAGTAATTAAGAATGGATGTCAGAATTTTGCAAAACCAACAATTTAGTCATTGCAAATACCTTTTTAAAACAATGTAAATGGTGACTGTGTACATGGACCTCAATAGATGTAATATATAAGAATTAAATAGATGAAACTTGTGGGAGGAGATGATGGAGAAACTCAATATTATTAGCCAAAACTAAATAAATAAATAAAGGTCAGGGAGAAATTGAAACAAACCACCCATCAACCATCAACTACTCATATGCAAGTTCAAGGTGATACTGAAAAACTAAAAGTAAGTCCAGGAGAACCAAAATATGACCTTGAATACATCCTACCTTGCCGGAGACCAGCCTCGAAAAATTATTGGGAGACTCTTGAAAGAGGATGTGGAGTTGGCGAAGTGGAAAAATAAAAAAAACACTCAAAGAGTCAATGGGTCATTTTGAGTCTCAGGCAGATGATGGTAATGATGACTCTCTCTGATGACTCTCTTTATTTCAACAATTGTTACTTCTTATATCCCTTTTAGAATATACTATGATCTCATAACAGTCACATACAAGCAGTTACAAATCAATCAAATATTATATTGTTACATCAAAGGTACAAGAGGAACACAAGGTCCCCAAACATTCCTGTGTCTCTATACTCCTTAGTTACTCCTTAGTTACCTTGATAATGTCTGCCTTCTGTGAGCGACTTTGTTTCTTGCTAATCCTCCCTAAGATGTCAGATTAATTTTAAACAAAGTTCTACATCTTAATTTCTAACTTTATCAACATCTATTACTTTCTATAGATTCATTAGTTACAGGTTACAATCAAAAACATAATTTTTACTATAACTGGTCATACATACAATTGATCAAACAATAAAAACAAGAACATGAAAGTACCCTAAAGTTTCCTAGTTAAGAACAAAGCAGTAATTCTCTCATGCTAATAATTTCTCAAAACTTCTAATCAAATTCCTACCTCTGTTCCCAAGCTCTCACTGCCCTTGACTATCTCCTAAACTGCTTTCTAAAGTCCTTAATGTCCTTGACTAAAACTACATGGAATGTTTCTTACAATTATAAACTTGAATTGCTAAAACTTTAGCTAGTGTGGTTATTTCTAATGTTAAAACTTATTGTTAATGTAAAGAACAATTTTTATAACTACATAAGATTGAATATGGTGTGAAAGTTAATGTTAATGTGAAAGGCAACTATTATAACGTGAGGTTTGTTTAAAGTAACTAATGATTATGCAAGATTTTCTAAAACTTCTTATAAGGAAATCAGAAATAAACTATTTTTCCAAGGGAAAGCTAGAAACCGTGGGGCCCCCGCATGAATCATCCCTTGTAGCTTTGCTAACTAAGGGGAATTCATTGTCACTCTGCTAAACAATGAACTTTTTATGCATAAGGATTCTCGCTATTCTGCTCCTTGGCAGGATGGCATCCACCACTACCTAGATTTAGAAGCCATCTCAAGAACAGATATGAAGCATTAGACACTAATGACTGAAGACCAAGAGAGTTATGGGATGACATCAAAAGCATCATATGTGAAGGTAGCAAAAGTCATTAAAAAGGCAGGAAAGAAAGAATATACCAAAATGGATATCAGAAGAGACTCTGAAACTTGTTCGTGACCAAAGAGATGCTAAAACCAATTGAAGAAATGATGAAGTAAAAAAGGTCAACAGAAAAATTTAAAACACAGCTAGATAAGACAAAGTAATATAACAAAATGTGCAAAGACCTGGAGTTAGAAACCAAAAATAAGGACACTCTCAGCATTTCTTAAGCCAAAGAACTGAAAACACACACACACAAAAGCCAAGGCTCAACTAGAAATACTGAAGTATTGTACAGGAAAAATATTGAATGATACAGAAAACATCATTAGAAGACAGAAGGAATATACAGAGTCACTGTGCCAAAAAAAAAAAAGAAAAAAAATCAATATTAAATATGATCATATTAAAGCATATTATCAAAAACTAATGGTATTGAAGGGAGAAATCCAAATTACCCTAAAAGCATTGCTGAAAAACCAAGTCTAGGAATTGTTGGAATGTAAATTGTGATCTTTCAACAAACTGATGCAGTACTGGATAAGCTCACTCATCTGTGCCAAGAAACTTAGAATAAAGCTGTCCAACTGGTTGGAACAGTCCATATTTGTGCCCATTTCAAAGACAGTTGACTCAGTGGAATGCAGAAATGATTGAACAATATATTACATGCAAATAAAATTATGCTGAAGATAATTCAAGAATCACTGGAAAAAATACTTGGACATGGAACTACCAGTAATTCAAGCCAGATTCAGAAGAGGATGAGGGACTAAGGATATCATTGCTGACATAAGATGAATCTTGGGTGAAAACAGAGAATACCAGAAAAATGGTTATTGACTTGTTTTTGATTGTATGGATCATGACAAGATTTGTGTATCAATGTGAAAAATAGATATTCCAGAACATTTAATTATATTCATAGACCAAGAAGCTGTATATAGACCAGGAGACAGTTATTAAAACAGCATGATGTTACTGGATGTTTTAAATCAGGAATGGTGTGTCCCAGGGTTGTATACTTGTTCGATCTGTATACTGAGCACATAATCTGAGAAACTGAAGAAGAATGTAGCATCATGATTGAAGGAAGACTCATTAATAACCTGTAATAAACAGATAACACACACTTGCTGAAAGCAAAGAGGAATTGAAATTTTTACTGAGGAAGATCAAAGACATCAGCCTTCAGAATAGATTGTACTTCAATGTCAAGAAAGCAAAAATCCTCACAACTGAACCAATAAATAACATCTTGATAACATTCATAAATAGAGAAAAGATTGAAGTTTTCAAAAAACTTCAGTTTGTTTGGATCCACAATCAACACTCATGAAAGTAGCAGTCAAGAAATCAAAAGACTTTTTGCATTAGGTAGATTTGCTGCACAAAAACCTCTTTAAAGTATTCAAGAGCAGTAACATCATTTGAGGATTAACGTGTGCCAAACCCAAACCATGGTATTTTCAATAGATTCATATGCATGTGAAAGCTGGACAATGAATAAGGAAGACCATAGAAGAATGAGTGCATTTGAATCATGGTGTTAGCTAAGAATATTAAAAGTACCATAGACTGCCAGAAGGACAAACAAATCTGTCTTGGAAGAAGTTCTGCCAGAATGATATTTTGAAAGCCAGAATGGCAAGAACTAGTCTCTCATACTTTGGACATGTTATCAGGAGGAACCAGTCTTTTGAAAAAGACATTTTGTTTGGTAAAATGGAAGGTCAGTGCCAACAAGATGTATTAACACAGCGTAAGCAGCAATGGCTTATCGTAACAATTGTGAGAATGGTGTAGGACCAGGCAGTGCTATATTCTGTTGTGAATAGTGTCACTCTGAGTTGGAACTGACTCGATGACACCTAAAAACAACAAGAAAGTGTTGCGGACCATGTAAGACTGGTCAGAGGTTCGAGGCCCTATAGGCCCGAGTGTAACAAATGAGGCCACTGGCAGTTAATGGCAAATTGTTTTTCATCTTAATATTGTTACATGTATTAATTTAATACACGGAGC